CAGAGGGCAGCTGGTGCACCCAGACAGTGGTTGGGCACTGCCCAGGCTCCCCAGGGCAGTGGGCACAGCCCCAAGGCTGCCAGAGCTCCAGGAGGGTTTGGCTGATCCTCTGGGGCACAGGGTGGGACTGGTGGGGATGGGCCTGTGCAGGGCTGAGGGTTGGACTGATGGTCCCTGTGGGTCCCTCCCAGCTCAGCACATTCTGTGAGCCCCTGCAATGAGCAGGGACAGAGCTGTCTCTGCCCCTGGCTTGTGGGTTGTGGACCACGAGTCCCTGCCATGTGAGGTCCTTGCCCTGGGCCCCAGCAGTGCTGACCTCTGCCCGACACGTCCGAGTTACTTGTCTGAGTTGTTCTGTGGAGGGAGCTCCTGCAGCTGCATTTCCTGAGGTCTGCCTTGGTTTTTTAGGTTACAATAGAGATGAACGAGCCAGTCCAGCTGACCTTTGCCCTGAGGTACCTGAACTTCTTCACCAAAGCCACCCCCCTGTCCCCTACAGTCACACTCAGCATGTCTGCAGACGTTCCTCTGGGTGAGTGGCTCTGCCAGAGAAATCTTGTAGGATTAGAACTTGTGACTTGAATTTGCTGTAGAACCTTGTGAAGACCCTTTTTTCCCCTCTCTCTTTCCCAGTGGTGGAGTACAAGATCGCTGACATGGGACACCTAAAGTACTACCTGGCTCCAAAGATCGAGGACCAGCAGGAAGGCTCTTAACTGGGGCAGGACTGAGGGGGATCTGCTCGTGGCTTGGAGAAGGGAATGGTGGTGATAGCAATTCCAGTGCCTTGGAGCATCCTGGGAGCACTGTTAGGCTTGGCTTGTAGATATCTTTGTAAATATTTTTCAACTTACTCTTTTGCTATCCTTGGCATCTTTGGAAATAGGAATTGTTTGGGTTTTTCTAGTCTGTTCCTGTACTCCCAATAATCTCTTGGATGCTGTCTGAAGGTGAAATTTCTGACTCCTCTCAACTTGTGTAGGAGAAGGGGGACAATATTTAATGAGTCAACTCCTGGAGTTTCACCTGTGGAGCTGTAGTTTAGGGTTGATGTTTTTATTATGCCACAAGTTTGTGTGACTTTGACTTCATTTATTTTTGAAGCTGATATTCAAACTGATACTTGGAAATAAAAGATATAATTTCATGGGGTTTGTCCTGTTGAAATGTGGATGGGGGAGTGAATCAAATCTTTGTCAGGTGCTGAGGTGCTCGGGCTCCTTTCTCACGGCACTGCAGACCCAGAATTCCCAGCCTTGGTCATTTAATTTGTGAATGGAGGGTGTGGTTACACTTTGGATAATTAATTGGTCCCTGATGCTGTTTCCCTGAATCCTGGAATGGTTTGGGTTGGAAGGGATTGTAAAGCTCCTCCAGTGCCACCCCCTGCCATGGGCAGGGACACCTTCCACTAGCCCAGGTTGCTCCACCCTGGCCTTGGACACTCCCAGGGATCCAGGGGCAGCCACAGCTTCTCTGGCAATTCCAGCCCAGCCCCTCCCCACTCTCACAGCCAACAATTCCTTCCCAATATCCCATCTCTCCCTGCCCTCTGGCACTGGGAAGCCATTCCCTGTGTCCTGTCCCTCCACCCCTTGTCCCCAGTCCCTCTCCAGCTCTCCTGGAGCCCCTTCAGGCCCTGGAAGGGGCTCTCAGCTCTCCCTGGAGCCTTCTCCTCTCCAGGTGAACTCCCCAAGCTCTCCCAGCCTGGCTCCAGAGCAGAGGGGCTCCAGCCCTGGGAGCAGCTCCAGGCCCTCCTCCGGACTCGCTCCAGCAGCTCCAAATCCTTCTGATGTTGGGGATTCCAGGGCTGGAGCAGCTCTGCAGGTGGGGTCTCACCTGAGGGGCAGAGTCACCTCCCGTGACCTGCTGCCTGTGATTCAAGGGCAGGGGTTCTGTGAAAGGTTTCTGTAACAACCATCACCCTGGGGGTGCCGGAGCTGCCTCGGGCTGTCCCTGTCCCTGTGGCTGCCCTGGGGACTCCCCTGAGGGCACTGGTGGCACTGGGACCCACAGGTCACACGGGGACCCCTCCTGGCTCTGCCTCTGCTGCTCTGAGGGGAAGGTCTGTGGTGGGTCAGTGGGAGCCTCTCCCACCCCTCCCCCTGCTGCTGTCCCCACCCTGGGCACCAGCAACCCCTGCCCTCGTCCAGGGTGTCTGTGACCCTCTTGCTGTGGGTGACAGTTAACACCTGAAGGTGTTTGATCGTGAAAAACGGTTTCAAAGCAGTTCCAGGCAGTTGCTGTTTTTCTTCACTGTTGGTTCCACAAACCCTTTGGTCTCTGCTGAGCCCGAGTGACCCACCAAGAGCTGTGGGGCTGCTCGGCCCGGCCGGGGCTGTGGGGCCCGGGGGACTCGGGCTCTGAGGGGGCTCTGGGGTCTGCAATCCAGGACAGGAGGGGGGAGCTGGGGTCCAACTCTGCTCCCAGGGAACCAGGGACAGGACAAGAGGAAACAGCCTCAAGCTGTGCCAAGGGAGGGTCAGAATGGGCCTCAGGAAGGCTTTCTTCATGGAAAGGGTTGTAAAGCATTGGAAGGGGCTGCCCAGGGAGGCGGTGGAGTCCCCACCCCTGGAAATGTCCAAAAAGCGTGTGGATGTGGCACTGGAGGACATGGGTTATGGTGAACACGGTGGTGGTGCTGGCTGATGGTTGGACCTGCCGATCTTAAAGGTCTTTTCCAACCCAAACAATCCCATGATTTTAAGTATATTTTTTCAGGGGGCTGTGTCCTTCCCACTGCTCAGCAACTCAGGAGTAGCTTGAGCTTAAACTGCCTGAAAACCAGTCCCTTGGAAGCCCCGAGTCACGGAGCAGGAGGATGGCACAAGGTGGCAGTGCCGGCGAGGAAACGAATCCCGCTGGGTCAGAGCGGTGGTGCTGCCCTGGGATGGACACTGGGCCCTGCTCGGAGCTGGGGACAGGATTTCCCTGTGCCCTGGACCTTGATCCTGTTGGGAGCAGCACTGCTTTGCTCCTGGGGATGGTCTGGAGGTGTCCAAGGCCAGGCTGGACGGGGCTTGGAGCAACCTGGGCTAGTGGACTGTGTCCCTGCCCATGGCAGGGGGTGGAACAAGAGGATCTTTCTGATCCCTTCCAAGCCAAACCAGTCTGGGATTCTGTGGTTTAGACCCCGATTTGCTGCTGTGCTGCAGGTGCCTCCCATGCTGAGCTGTCTCGTGTCTCCATTTATCCTCAACTTCCTTGGCTGGTTAATTCAGGAAAAGTCTGGAAAGGAAGATCTTTGACCCTGAAGTTTTTCAACAGTCACAGAATTCTTGCCCAGAGCAGTGGTAGAAGCCTTAAATAACCAGGGAGCTTTTTGTCCCTCCAAATGTGGTGCTGGGACGGGATCAGCCCTGTGGTGCCCATGGCAAACTGGCTTTGGAAGAATTTTGTGGAAACTTTGGCTTCAGCGGGGAATCCAAGGTTTGTGACATGGAAATAGGGAAGGATTCTGGGGTGTAAAGCCAGTGATCGAAGCAAATTCTTTTTGGTGCAACTTCCAGCTGTAGCAGAGGTCACCAAACTCTTCCTTTGTGCTGTTCTACCCATAAACACATTGTAAAAATCAGCCAAATTGTTTAATTGCTTTTTTTTACAGCTGAAATGACCAAGTTGAGCAGCCTGTTGTTGCAAGAAACATCCTTTAACATCGGTCCTTACACACTTGTGTCCTGTCTGGTCTCTGCATAAATCCTGAAAGCAGCTGGACCTTTACTTTGCCAGGCCCAAATAATGAAAATTTTAAAGGATGTTCCCTTTAAAACAAAACAAACAAACAAACAAACAAAAAAAACCCCAAACCCCAACCAAATGCAAAAAAATGCCTGGGAGGGTTAATAAATGCCGTGTTTTTCTCCCCGTTTGAGAGAGGAAGTTTTAGAAGTTTATATATTTAGACTTTCTCACCAAGGAGGTAATACATAAGAAGGGGGGAGGGATAATTCTCAGGAATTTAAGGAGATTGGGCTTCTCAGGCTCCAAATCCAGCCCGTACTTTATTAATTCACAGGAAGCAGTTCCCTTGGGAAGCTCCCCGAAGGAGGCACATCCCCACACTACCCCACCCGAGTTAACATTCCCGGGGCTGAAATAACGCCCTGGCTGTGTGTGGGTCCCCTCTCAGCCCTTCCCAACGCCCCCAGGAATGTCCCGGGACGTTCCCGGCTGGAAGAGAGCCGGGAGCATCCTCTGGAAAAGCAGCTTTGTTGGAAGGCGCGGACGAAGCCGCTGGTCCATAAAGCCCCTGCGAACCCCAGATGAGCCCCGCTGGACCTCGCAGGACACGGCCTGGACCACCCTCGTCCAAGAACGCGGGAATTCCAGCGGGTTTCCCTGGAGCGCCGGGCCGGGAAAGGCCGGCGGGGCGCGGGCGCGGCCGTGACCTGGAAGGAAATCGCCGTCACCGGGATAAACTTCCCGGGCAGCGCGGAAGGGCCGGGCCGGCACCGGGTAACGGGGCGGGGGGGGTTGGGGGTGATTTTGGGTGGGTTTGGAGGGATTTGGGGTGGGTTTGGGGGGATTGGGGTGGGTTTGGGGGTGTTTGGGAGCGACGCGAGGCCGGGAGCGCGGGGGGAGCGCCCGGGAGAGGCGGGACCGGCCCGGGGACACCTGGGGATGTCCGGGGACACTTTCATAGAATCATGGAATCAGCTGGGCTGGAAGGGACCTCTGAGATCATCCAGTCCAACCCTTGATCCAACCCCGCCGTGGTTCCCAGCCCATGGCACTGATGCCACATCCAATCTCTGCTTAAAAACCTCCAGGGATGGAGAATCCCCCCCTTCCCTGGGCAGCCCATTCCAATGGCTGAGCACCCTCTCTGCAAAGAAATTCTTCCTAATCTCCAACCTAACCCTCCCCTGGCACAGCTGCAGACCCAGCCCTCTTGTCTTGCTGATGGTTCCTGGGAAAAGAGACCAACCCCCCCCGGCTCCCCCCTCCTGGCAGGGAGTTGCAGAGAGTGAGAAGGTCTCCCCTGAGCCTCCTCTTCTCCAGGCTGAGCCCCCCCAGCTCCCTCAGCCTCTCCTCACAGCTCTTGTGCTTCGGGTGTCCCCGCTGAGGTTTGAGCTCCCAAAAGGGCCGGAGTGACCCCCCAGCCCTTCCGCGTGTCCCGCTGGAACATTGCTCCGCTGTAGGGGATAATCGGGAATCCGGGTTTGTGTTTCCCGGATCCTCCCCGGGTTTAAAACACAACTGAAATCTGGAATTGGAGCCTTAATTGTCTTGGCCAAGTTGCTTAGGCCCTGCTTGTTTATTTTTATAAAGTAAATATTCTTGTTTCTGCTGCTGGACCGTTGCAGAGCACGATTTAATGCACTGTAGGCTTGATATGAGGCTTAATGGGGTCAAACCTGGCCTTTAAACTCTCTGAGAGAGTATTTTTTTATGCATTTGTCATGAATAGCTTCTTTCTTGTTCATAGGTGATGTAATGGGAAAGGCAGACAACTTGTGCAGGTGTAAATTAGAAATAATTCCTAAGAAGTCACTAAAAAAACTGGTAAATAATGGGGTGGTGGGTGAGAAAAGAGGGGGAAATGGGGCAGAGTCAGGAAATGTGACTTTCATTTCAGAAATGCTCATTTATTTGGGCTTCTTCCCCTCCTGCACATCCACCCCCAGGCATGTGGGGAGTTTTTAGGAGACCCTGGGGGTGTTTGGGTGCTGGGACCTGAAAAACAGGGATATGTGAGGAGCTGGGAATACCACCCTGCGGGTAGGAGGTATTTCCTAAAGACGTTCTTTCTATATTTGGGTTTTGCTACCAAAACAAGCCCCGGAGTTCAAACCAAAGGTTCAGCTGTGGGGGTTTAAGATCAGAGGGCGTTGGTTCTTTTATAAAAGTCAAATTTGCAGCAGGAGGAACAAACCTGAGTTTGTTCCTGGGAACGTGCCAGTGATTAACAACGGGGGCACAAAGGATTTTGTGGAGATGCATCACCTTTAATGCTAAATCCTGTTATGGAAACAGTGTCTTTATCCCTTTCTGTTGGCACAGTTGGAATATGCACTTTTGTTCTCTTTATTCCACACTTTCTCAGCAAATAAAAGCACCACTGAGGCTGGAAAGAGTGGGAAGCCCTTTCCTGCCCCTCTCCTGGGAATTGTAGCCCTGGGCTGTGTTTGAGGAGACACCCAGGTCCTGCTGGGCCCTGTTCCTGGGTGTTGGCAGGATGGATCCTGGCTCCAGCCCCTGGGAAGGTGGGCTCCAAGGGACAAGCTCCTTGCTGGAGTGTTGGTGACCTCATCCCACTCACTCCATCCCCTTGAGATGCTCCCCCTGAGTCACAGCTCCTGCTGGATCCACGACACCTCCATTTCATTCCAGTCTCCAGTGGCTGGTTGTTTTTTAATTCCCAGAATTGCTCTGTTGCAAAACATCCTGGTGGTTGAAAAGCTGCTTTGTTTCACTCTGGTTTGGGTTTCTTTGCTGATGTCCCTGTTTGGAAGCAGCTGGAGCTGGGACAGCTCCCTGCTGGCAGTGGGATCCCCTTGCGAAACGAGAGCTGGGCTGGACATGGGAGGATATTCTGGATTTTCAGTCTGGTTTTAAGCACAGGTTCTACCTTAGCTTGGCTTTTGCTTTCAGAATTGGTAAACCCTCTTGCAGCTGTATCCATTTTGCATTTTAAGCTTAAAATAAAATGCTTAAATACTTTGTTTGAAAAGTTTTAATTTACAAAGAACAATTTTTGAAGAACAGATTTATGCCTTTTTAGTTGGAACAGCCTGGACTCTTTAGTTTCTCCTCAGAAACTTGATCTGTTGCTCCCAGACTCCACCACCCAGTTTCCTCCCATGTTTTTGCTCTTCCCTGTGTTTCCCAGGTCCCAGGTGATGCCCAGCCCTCCATGGAATGATGCCGTCCCGCACCAACCTCTCTGCTGGGATTCCCAGTAGCAAAGTCAAATATTCCAAGCTCTCCAGCACTGATGATGGGTACATTGACCTGCAGGTAAGAAAAGGGGAAGGAAATGGTAAAGCAGGAGGACAGGCAGCTGTAGCTTTGCACTGGTGGGCAGCTGCTTGTTTGTGCATCTCTGGTAGAGCAGCTGCAGCTCAGAGAGGGACAAAGCCGGGTGGGAGCCACCACCTCGGCCCTTCCCCTCTGGAAAACCCATAGAGCTTCCCTGGAAACAAGACTGGTTGCTTAACAGATGCATTTCCATGGGGGGAGGTGAGATCTGGAGCAGATGTGAGGTGATGGGTGGAAGGGCTGGCTCAGCAGGGGCTCCATGGGCAGGATTCCTCGGGGAAGAGCTGCCTCAGCCCTTTGTCCCTGTGAGATTCCCAGCTCTGCCCTGCTGGGAGGGGAGCTGTGCTGAGTTAACCTCTTCAATATTTGGGGTTTTGCCATCCAGTTCAAGAAGAGCCCACCAAAGATCCCCTACAAGGCCATCGCCCTGGCTGTTGTGCTCTTCATGATTGGGACCTTCCTCATCATCATTGGAGCCCTGCTGCTGGCAGGGTACATCAGCAAAGGAGTGAGTGCTTTAATTACTTTAATTACACTTGTTATCAGTTTTGCATTGCCTGCCCTGCCCTCAAGGCTGCCGTGAGCCCTCATGAACCATCATGTGACAGGACCAGAGGAAACAGCCTCAAGTTGTACCAGGGGAGGTTTAGATTTGATATTAGGAAAAGGTTTTTCCATGGACAGGGTTATTCACCCCTGGAACAGGCTGTGCAGGGCAGTGGTGGAGTCACCATCCCTGGAAGTGTCCAAAAAACATGTGGATGTGGCACTTGAGGACATGGTTCAATGGTGAACATGGTGGTGGGTTATGGTTGGACTTGATGACCTCAAAGGTCCTTCCCAGCCTTAACAATTCCATGATTCTGTGATCATGTTCAGTGTAGAAATCCAGAGCCAAAGACCTGGAAAGTCATTCCCACCACGGCCTTGCTGTGCCATTTCCCTGGCAGCAGATCCCTGTGATCCCTGCAGTCTGGAGCAGGTTCAGAGCTGGGCTGGAGACCTGCCAGGGAGGGCTGAGTGTCCCTGCCCTCCCTGGGGTCCAGTTTCATGTCCCTGCAGAGTCCAGCTCGTTGTCCTGGGAAAACCTCAGCCTGGGGTCATCACCTCCAGTGCAGATCTTCTCGTGACTCAGGCAGGAGATGCCAGAGCCTGTCCGGGACACAGCAGCAGTTTTCCCACCTCTGTAGATCCATGGGAAGGGGATCTGCTCTTTGGAGCTGCCTGGGTGCTTCTCCCCCTGTCCCTTGGCTGCAGGAATCGCTGTCAGTCGGCAGCTCTGCTTATCAGAGTGGCACCAGCAGGGTCTGGGCTCTGTCGGGAGCTCTCCAGGCACAGGGAGCTCCCAGCCCTGGCTGCACATCCAGGGGGGATCAGGAGAAGGTCCCTCGAGGGGTTCCTGCAGCAAGGAGGAGATGCCAGGAGAGGATTAAAGGCTCAGCCTAATGACAACTGATTTTTCTGATTTAGGATGGATTTTTATTTCTCAGCCAGCAAGGCCTTGGGGATGAACCACGGAATCATGGAATGGTTTGGGTTGGAAGGGACCTTACAGATCATCCTGTTCCAACCACTGCCATGAGCAGGGACACCTTCCACTAGACCAGATTGGATGGTCATCCTGAGAATCTCCTCCCTCTCTCCCTGCTTTGCCCTCACTATTATATTTCTTTATTATTATTATTCTGTTATATTTATTATATTATATCCATGTCCTTCAGGTGTGTGAGACAGGGCTGGTGGAGTTCTGCTCCCCCACAGCTCCTGTGCTCACACAGGTCACAGCAGTTCAGAGACAGGAGCCCAGAGCCAGTCTGAGCCCTTCCTCTGTGTCCTGCCTTGGGCACAGATAATCATGGAATCCTGGAACGCTTTGGGTTGGGAGGGACCTTAAAGCCCGTTCAGTTCCACCCCCTGCCATGGACAGGGACACCTTCCACTAGCCCAGGATGTAAGAGAAAGGCAAGCCCCTCATGCAGACCTCTTCCCACTGGCCTGGGCCGTGTGTCCCTGCAGGAAACGGACCGTGCCATCCCCGTGCTCATCATCGGCATCCTGGTGTTCCTGCCGGGCTTCTACCACCTGCGCATCGCCTACTACGCCTCCAAGGGCTACCGGGGCTACTCCTACGACGACATTCCCGACTTTGACGACTGAACAACGAGCCCATCCCACCCTCAGTAGTTGCTCAGAGCTGGTTTTTGTCCCCCTGGGCCTCGGGGGCCTGGCAGGTCCCCGCTCACGTGTGTCCCTCACACGGTTCCTGGGTTTGAGGTGTTGCAGGTTGTCCAGTTTGGGGGGTTTTGGGGGGGGCTGGAACACAGAATTGACCAAAAGGAATTGCAAAGAACTTGAGATTTATGGTATTTTTTCCTCTTGCTTGTTGCTGGGAAGTCCTTCCTGGGGGAGGCACTTCTTGCAGTTTCCAGAAGTAGCTGAGCCGCTTTCAGCAGCAGATCCTTGTTTTTTCTGACTATTTTATAGAGTTTAGTTTTCCACGAGATTGTGGTTATTGTTGGCTTTACCTTTGCAGACAAACACCATAGTTCAATTCTCCCTCTGCTCTCTGTCCATCAGAAATGCTTCCAGAGTTCTTGTGCTGAGCTTTCGTTGTAGTAACTAAAGTCTGATGTGCACGGGAGGGGGAGAACAGCACTTGTAGGGAGAGATTTACAGGCTGCACTTGCTGCACAGCTCCTTGTCAGGCTGACCGAGCTCATTTCCCCACAAACACATTCTTCCCAGGAGAGCTTTTCCCAGGCCAAATCCGCTTACCCCTCACAAGGATTTTGATTATTATTTTAAACAACTGAATGGATACCGGGAGAAGGGTTGGAATCTAGACCAGGACTCAAGTGTCTAAATGCCAAAAATCTTGGGTTTGACTAATGTGGATATTGGAGACGTTATTGGAGACACTTGAATTCCAGCTGTCTGTATGTTTGGAGTCCTTGTGTAGCTAATATTCTGTGCAGAGCTGCCCAGAGCAGCGAAAAGGAATTCCCTGTATAGTTTGTGCTGAACAAATTCCCTCTGGATTGCTTTGCCAGCATCAGTGATGTGTCATTCAGGGAGGGCAGAGGGACAGCTCCATTCCTCTGAGGTGGGAATGTCTCGGTGTCCTGGAGAACGTGTGACAAGTGGGAGTGCAAGTGGGTGCATTTAACATGAATAAAGTTCTATATTCTGTGTAACCTTAAGTTTGTTGTCATTCCCAGGTTTCAGAGGGCACTAAAAACTGTTCTGGGCAACCAGATTTGAGCTTTACCTGCAGCTGCTGCTGCCTCCAGCTCCCCAGTGCTGATGGGGTGGGTGTTGGGCTCTGCTGGGCAGCTCTGGAACAGCTCCATCTGCTCCAGGAGCCTCAGCTTGCCCTGGGCAGGGCTGGGATTGCTGCACCAGGGAGGATAATCCAGCCTGCCCTGGGGGGGCAGGAAAAGGTGCTGCCTCGGAAGGTCAGGGTTTGCTTTTTGAGCCCCTCAGTCCTGGTTCAATGGGAAAGACCCCAGAGCTGGAATTGCTTTGTTTCAGGGTCCAAGCACCCAGCTCCTTTTGCTGGACAGGGTAGCAGGAGCAGTGTCTGTTGGAATGTGATGCTCCACAATTCCCAGGTGGGCTGAACATTTTGGAAGGAAGGGGGCAGGTGTGGCTGCTGGTGCCGAGCAGTCCATGGAGAAGGGGATGAGATCAGTGCTGGATAAAAGCCTTGCTCTGAACCTACTCCTAAAATTGCCTTTTTTCCTCCTTCAGTGTTCTGGATTAAACCCAAACCCCGAGCCAAGTTCTTTTTTTAACCCCCATCTCTTCCCTCATTTGCCTTAATTCCAGTGCTGCACTTGGAGAAATAACTGATCAAACTCAGGATCTCCCTTTCCTCCTCTGAAGGCACAACTGAGCAGTTCCCTCTGTGCTGTGTCACTCCAGCCCCCACATTCCCAGCTCTGCCCAGCTTCCAGATGGGACACGTGCTGCTGGCAGCAGCTGGAACGTGTCAATTAGAGCTGGGTCTGGCCAGGAGAGCAACTGCTGACGTCAAACCATGAATCAGCCTCTATTAGGGGATGGGAACGTGGGTTTGTTTGGGTTTGGGGAAAGGGGAGACGGAGTAGAAGGGAAGTTTAGATGGAAAAAGCAAAGAGGGGGAGGGAGATGTTTTAAGTGGGGCTGAGATGCAGAAAGTTGGGAAGTGGGATAGAAGTCAAATAGGATAAATGAATGCAGGGGACAGGAGAAGGAACTGGACTTTGATGATCCCTGTGGGTCCCTTCCAGCTTTGGATATTCTGTGGTTCTAAGAACATGCTGACATTCCTGGAGGAAAGGCAAGCAATGAATTTACTTTTATTTGACAGAAGCAAAGTCCTCAGTGGATAAATAAAGCAGGGCCTGCCCTCATGCTCCCAGGGCTCAGTGAGGGGTGACCACAGGGAAGAATCCTTTGCAGGGGTCAGTTTAAATCTAATTTGGAAAAAAGGAAACACTTCTGGAAAAGAAAAAAAGAGATTCTGAACCCTGGAAATATGTGGGTCCAGAGGACTTCATCCTCTGAGTTAACACACTGCATTTGAAGCAGTTTTCCTCCAGAGCAAAGTCTCCCTGTCTATTGATTTCAAATCTCTCTTAATTTTCTGGCTGTACTGTACCTCATAGCCAGGCTTCACACTTCTTTGCAATATAGCATGAGTTCACATTTATTTAAAGAGATACAGAAACTTCTCTGCAAACACGTCGTTTCCCTGAGCCTGGTTCCTGCTGGGGTGGGTTTGAGGGGCTCAGTGCTGCAGCTCTTTTTCCTGTCAAAACGCCTCAGAAAGATGAAGTCTCCTCCCCAGGGGGCCGTTGGTCCAGTCTCTCTGTGCTGATACATCTCAGTGAGGTCCTTTGGGTTTCCCTCCCACTCTGCCCCGCTGGACCTGCTGGATTTGCACACCTGGCTCAGCTCCTTTGCTGCCCCAGCTCCCTGCACGTGGAGCTGCCTCTTCCCCGAGGAGCGTCCCGGGGCTGCTGCCAAAGCCCAGCTTCTGCACCCAAATCCTGGGTGTTGTGGGTTTGGGGAGCCCTGACTGACCCACTGCAGGGATGAGGGGAACAGGGAAAGGCCTGGGAAGGAGTTTCTGGTTCTGGAGCAGGGCTGGAACGACAAATAAGGCCCCGAATGAGGATAACACTGAATCCCCGTTGTGGAGCATCCTCCACTTGGGCCCTTGGCAGGGCAGCTGTCTCAGGGAAAACCAGCCAGCACTTAGAGAGCTTGAGGGGTTTATTATGCACAGGAGCTCTGGAGAGAGAACAGGCAGCCACATTCCAGGCTTTTCCCTGGTTTCTGAGGACTTGGATTTGTGTCTCCTCGGTGATGTTCTTCTGTTGCTGTTGCAGGGAGTAGTTACACAATTACCTGCTTAATTCAATACCATGAAGTTGCTGGAAAGACAGTTGGAAACGTGACTCTGAAGCCCTCTGGCCTCAGCAGCCCCAGAGAAACTCCCCTGGGGTATTCCTATATATATAATATATAATATATAATATATAATATATAATATATAATATATAATATATAATATATAATATATAATATATAATATATAATATATAATATATAAATAAAATATATATTCTTTATTGTATATATATTCTGTATTCTATATATTCTTTATTATCTGTTATATTTTATATATATTATATAAAAATAGATTTTTAGATCTATAAATATATATTTATATTTATTTTCTACATTTATCTATTATATATTATATAATTATATATTATAAGATATAAATAATAAAGAATATATATATTCTTATATAAAAGCAAAGACTCATTTTAAGTCAATCTCATGACTTTTCTTGAGTGAACAAAGCTATTTGGAGTTCCCAGGCACCATCACAGCAGAGGAGACCTCTCTTCTGTAGCAAAGCTGGGTGAAACATCTTGGGGAATAAAGGGGGGAGACTCAGGGCAGTGGTGGAAACAGTCTTGGGGAGCTGCAAACATGAACTACAAGCCCTGGAGGTCCAAAGGGGCTCTTTCCCTGCTCCCCATTTGCAGGAGCTCATTCACAGCACATTGAGCTCCCCAGGGCACAGTGGGGCCTCTCCCCCTCCTCTCCAGGAGGCTCCTCACTGTTGTTGGGGGTTCTGTGGCCACCAGCCCAGAGATGTGGCCACCAGTGGCTCCTGGCTCCAAGATCCCATGTGTGACTCCTTTTCTCACCCTTCCCACAGCTCGTTGCCACCAGTCTGGCCCCAAACTGGTACCACGTGGTGGCACTGAAGTGCAGAGCCAAGGGGGGGACCTGCTGCCCACACAGAAGCTTCCAGGAGAGGCTCCACGTGCTGGGATGCTGCTGACTGGGGGGCAGTGGGGACAGCAGGGGTTTGCAGCCCCACGCCCCGTGCTGCTCCCCAGGGTCATGGCTAATGCCCCGCTGGGAGAGCCCATGGAGGACCCTGCCCCAGAGGGGGCCTCTACACATGGCAAAAGCAGGAGGGATGGGGGAAACCTCAGCAGTGGGAAGGAGCAGCAGGAAAGGCCAGAACTACCCGAGGTGGTGTGCGAATGGTCCCAGAAACCCTTGCAGGAAGAGGCAGAACTTGTGCTTCTGGAGGTTGTCCGAAGTGATGAGGGGAAGGTGAGGAGTGTCACCAGCCTGGAGACTGTGTGAGCTCGAGGCCACAGCCCTGGGGAGACCCTCACCCTGTCCTGGGCTCTCAGTCTCAACTTCAGGCTGGGGAGCCTCAATGCTGAGTCTCACACACTCAGGATTTTGCCTCTGTCCATACAGAGAGCCTTGTAAAAGACAGAATCATAAAATCACTTAGGCTGGAAAAGACCTTTAATTAAGATCATTGAGTCCAGCCATGAATTCCCTGTGCAGGGAAGCAGCTGCAGGCACTGCAGCCCAATCCTGGGAAAGCAGGTGCAAGTCCTCCAGGCAGCAACTTGACTTGTGCTATGGATGGTTTTGGCCTCCCTGTCGATCCTTCTCTCTGAGATTCTCCCTGTGCAGGTGGAGTGTCATGGTTTGAGATAGCCCCAACATCCAATTCCCTAGCTCCATTCCCCCTCCCACATCTCAACCTAATGTGAGATGGGTTTTTCCAGACAAAACACACACCAGACTCAAAGTGGGGAAAGGGAATATATTACAATGACTGTACAAATAAATACCATATCACATTATACACATGATCATAACTATCTCTACCATGACATATAGTATTTACAATGGATCAGATCTCTTCTCCCCTCCAAATAAAAGTCCAGGAGGGAAAGAAGGACAGATCCCTTCCAGTCTCTGAACAGCAGCATCTTCTAAGGCAGCAGGTTTCTTCTTCTCATGCATGCAGCAGCTGATAGCTGGATTTCTGCCAGCATCCACAAGGGAGGTATCCAAGCCTCTCTCTTGGCCCCATCGCCTCACAACCGAGGGGTCTTCCGTGGGCTTCGTAACCCCAGACAAGGTCGTTTCACCAGGTCATATCACGAAGACACAGGGGGGTCTTCGTGACGGTCTGGTATCTCTTGCAGGGCCTCTGTGCCCTGTCTCTCAGGCTGCCACCGTGGCAGCAGTGCGAGGGGGGGGGAGCCAAGGTCAACTCCCCCTGCATTCCTCTCGGAGCTCTCTAGCTCCTTTCTACAGTGCATGTCGCACTGCAAGGCTCTTTCAAGTAAGAGTCCATCATCTTCCTCCTTCCAGGAGGTCTCAAAGGAGTTTTGGGGATCTGGTATCAGTCTTACCCCCAAGAACTCTGTAGCTCTCAGCTGCTGGCTCTCCTTTTCCTCGACTCTCCTTCCAGGAGTCTCCTCTGCAGTGCTGCATGTTGCTTCTCTGCTCCTTCAGTTCAGGTTCTTATCTCTGGCTCTCTGCCACCGTTTCTCTGGTCAGCGTCGGCTGCTGCTCTGTGCCCATGGAGAAAACATCTCCCGGCATAACTACAGGCACCTAGCCCAGCTTTATGCTGTTCCAGGTCCCTGCAGCCCCCAGCCAGGGGCTGGGAAGGGGGCCAGAGGCCCCAAGGGGCTCAGAGCCCCTACCTCGTGGCTCTACAACATGGCCACCTCTCCTACAACCAAACAACTACAACTCTTCTTTTCCGGTCTGGTTGTGGTATGTTTACATTTCTGCAGGAGCGTCCATTGGGCAGAATTTCAAAACTTCCAGGGGTTTCCACCCCTTGGGGTCTACCACTTCTCTTAGCTTC